AATTGTACACATACAGTTTGAGATATGTATTAAAAGAAATCACTGTTGGTCATGTTTACAATGTAGGTATATCATCCTGACCAGAAACAGTGACTTACTCAGCTAATTGAAAGAACACTGAAAGAAATGCAGTGCAGATAAAGCTAGTGAAATTTGAGTTGACACATGGAATGTCTGTTTGCCTTTTTTAGTCTGGTATTTGTCTGCAGAGCATCAATTTACCCACTAATTGGATAGAGTCGGTGGCGTGTTACCTTTTATGTTTAATAACTACTAAGAGGTCATCATGGTCCCTGGCACCAAACGTGGCAGCATTTTAAAGTATTTGTAAAGAGTGTAGTGAGGTAATACCATGTTTTACGTGGAGATACCTGCAATTACTGGTGTACTTGGACATCTTATTTTCACTTCAGAGTTATTTTTATGAATTTATATGCCCTTTGGGGGGAATATAAGGTACATGTTGAAACCTTTTGGCACATTCATGTGGCAGATTATATGCAAGTTCTCCTAAAATTCAATCTCAAATACCTGCTTAGGAGACACAGGCTTTATGCTGAAATGACGTTGGTTTTTATCTGTGCTTACAGACAATACCAGTTCAATTGTTTCCATTGCTAAAAATAAAGAGTCATTTTTATGGCAGTAGAAACAAACCTGAAGAACTTTGTAAATACTTGATTTTTTTTTCCAGTTTTCCCTTAACTTAGGCAATCAGTTGGAGCAAAACTATAATTGGTCTTTTGGGAAAGACTGGGGGGCAGGGGGAGAAGTGTGTATCTTCCATGCAAAACTGGAGCACAAAATGAACAGCTGTCCATTAAACCTATTCGTTTTGTAGAATTTTCTGTAATTCCAGTAAAGAATTGGTTCAGAGCATTTTACAGCTTTTAGGAGAGATCATTTAAGTAGGTACATGTGTTGTCCTGTTGCTGTCTATGGTAATTGCTTTCTCAGTTCTATTAAAACTTGAATTTTTAAATACTTGCTACCTTAAAACCAAGAACTAAAGTTTATTCACAGCTCCTTTTTTTTTATTATTTTTTTTTAATATGTTGTTTACATTATTCTGTATGTAATTGCTTCTTCCAAAAAACGTGAAGCGCCATGGTAGATCTCTGTTACATCCATAATGTTGTCCTGAAACATTGTCTGTAAATTATCTTCATAACAAACTGAGGTTGCTCATGACAGTTTCTTTTTTGATGTTTTCTCAGAGTCTTGATTCATTTTAAATGTGTAAACTCAACTTCTGGAATGAAAACATTTTCCAGCTGACCTGGTTCATTATTACTACAGGAGGTTTTGGCTTTCTTTTTAACAAAGCTTTAGGTACTTTACAGCTCCTAATAAGAGAATATGAGACTGAAAATCTCCATCTCACTGCTGCTTCATCTTTATACTTTGTCTGCATGAATGTATGCCGTGTTCCTCCTAAATGAGAAATAAAATAATTTTGTCAGCTGAGGACTACTTCTGGCTTTTATAATCAGGTGTTTAAAAGAATTGTCAGACTTTTCATTCTCTTGCTAAATGGAACAATTTGTCATTTTCAAGGGATGAATCATTTTTCTTTTTCAATGTTAATCATTCCTGCTGTGTTATAAAAGTCTTTAAGTAGTTTAAAGATAGCTGCTATGGCAGTGTTTAAGCAGTAAACATCCCCTCACTGTGTCTTATCAATAAGATTTGGTATTAACTGGCATTTTCTTCTGAAGTATTATTTGTTCCCTTTGTAATAATCATATAAAATCTAATAAGCAGAAATTGTAGTTGGTACATCAGTATCCGTCTTGGTCTGAACCAGACTGAACATTTTCTCTGTTCTTTAACCTTTTTTATTGATTTTAAGTTAGTGATGTGTCTGGATAGATAGTTGCTGCTTAAATATTAATATGTTTTTTTAATCTATTAATTTGTTTAAGTGAAGGGCTTAAATCTTGCTGCTGGAATGAAAACATAGTTTTTCCATTTATTTTGAGAGTTCTGGAAGATGAAGATATGGTAATCTTTGTATTTTTCAGCGCAACTTGCAATGTAGTCAATAGTTAGGCATCCAAAATACAGATTCCTGCCTTTCTAATTAGTGGTTTGTAAGGACCATCCCACATTAATTGTTTTCATATGCAATGATTTTCAAAACTTGCTGTATTTCTATGATTCATACGTGCATTTTAAATACCCTTCCACAGAAATGGGGCATGTATGTATACAATTAACTCAGTAATTCTAATATTAAATGGCATAAAAGACATGGCAATAACTAGACTGCTAGTCTGTCAAAACTGTTCACACAAAGTAGGTTTTAAAAGACTGTAAAAGTTCAGTTTGTGAGAGACATCTGTAACACTGTCTATCAACCTAACTTTGTCCTTTGGAAACCTTAACATGTTTTGTAGTGAGAACGTAGCTTTAAACATATGACGTTCCAAAAAAGCACTGCTTTTGGAATGAAGGAATGTGATTTTAAATATAAGACTTGCTGGAAAGGAGTTGTTAGAGCTGTAGATCTGTACTGCCATTTGACTGTTGATTGTTGGCCATGTTGACTGCAGCAAGTATCTTCTAAGGGAGCTCTACAGGCGTGGTGTTCCTACCATCCCATCCCAGACCGTAATACTTAAACACATGAGGCTTTCTATGTGTTATGTACACCCTGAAAAATCCCTACCCTGTGTACTTTCCACACTATTGCCAAGCTCACTGTTGGCTTATCTCTAGCTGTCTTTTCAGTCTCCCTGACCCAGGATTGCATTCTGTAATTCTTATTTCCATGCATATGACAACTTCTGGTCATGGGAAGAGCAATTTTTGGACTAATGCAATTTGATTTGACACAGCAATTCCTACAGTTTCTACCTGAAACTGTCATCTGGGTTTAGATGCACTGAGCTGGTATGTGGTTCCTTTTTTACTGTTGTTTCTTTACAGCTTCCACAATGAAAGAGCTGGGCATTACACCACAATGTTTCAGTAAAAATGTACTAAGACAAGAGCCAATGGAAAAACAGCTTAAATTGTAGATCTGAGAAGCTTGCAAGTTACTTTTCATTTTGTATAGAAATCATTCCATCCAAAGATAGTATAGCCTGGATTTTTAAACTGTTTTAAAGCTGGAGTTGTAGAACTCTAAAACAATCAGCTACTTAAAGAAATTTTTTCATGAGCATACTTTGTAACAAAATGTCCTTGCTTTCCCTTATGCTGGCAAGTCTCCTCAAAAAATATTATTTTAGGATGTTTTGAAGTACTACTTTTTTTTTTTTCATTGTTGTTATTATTATTCCTTCTACATCATTTCTATTTTGCAGCAATATAGATAGGCAGAATCCTCAGTGTAAAGTAGCACAAGATAAGGAAGAAAAATTACTTAATACTACCATCAAACAGGAATCACTGAGTAAGACTTGTAGAAAGATAATAAATCCCCCAAATCCATCTGTTTAGCAGAGGGCTGAAGATGAATGCCACACACTCCATCTTCCTGAAGACAACAGGAGTGTGCTGGGAGTGATCTGTGTGCTTGGTGAAATTGCTCTGTGGAGCACCTTCACCATCGTGGGTCACACGCCTTTTCCCTCGCTGTTAGGACACCAGAAAAAGGAATGGAATGGGTCTTTGACTGTTACCAAACTTCTGTATTTTCTATTTCCTCTCCCTCCTTGCTTGCAAGCTCTCCTTTGAGTTCCCTTTCTCTGAAAGGGTATTACATTTACCTCTACCATATTTCCAGTAGATGATTGGCAAGGTGTAGATCTTTTTCATTTAGTTTGATAAAGAGGGCAGCTTTGACTTTCTTTCCGTGCATATCAAGGTAAACAAAGAAATTAGAGGTGCATTTATGAAGGACCAGATATAAGTGACTTTCTTAGAGCATTCTTCTAGCTTTTGGGATTATCAGTGTAAAAACAGTGGATAAGCAGTGTAAAATCTTTTGGTGCATGTTCATATACAGAGTTTTTCTTCTTAATAAAGCACATGTGGCATTAGTGAGAACAAAGAGTAGTTGTGAAGCATATTTTAGCTTACACTGATAGAAGCTGCTTTCAGGAAAAAGTCCTGAAAAAAGTATTTTTCAGTAGAAAAATACTCATGTGTAGCTTCTTTCCAAGCCCTCTATCATTTACCAAAATAGAGAGACTGTGGGATTTTCACCTATGTTTTCAACTTTCTGAAGGTTGAATGCTGACTCAAAGAGAATCTAACCTTTTGAAGCTCAGCAGGGGTAGCTCATGAGTATAATTTGCTTTTAATGATGATTTCAGAAGTTCCAAACCTGTCAGAGCAAATTAACACGTTCTTAGAGGAGCATTAAATCCCATGCTAACTTTTCAGAAGCAAAGGCCAAATAATTATTTAATGAAATGTGTAAATGTTTTGCAGCTTTGCCTTTATTAATGAGCGTAAATGGACAATCTGGTTAGACCGGAGTTTTGTATGTTCCGTTCCATTCATACTGTATTATACACGTCTTTAAATACACTTCTTTAAAGTTATATATCTATTAAGGAATACTTGTAAATATAATAATACTTATTAGCTAGAGACTTTAATATGCCTTGCCCAAGTGATTGTATATGCTATAATAGTATAAAATATATATAGTATAAAATATATGTTATTATATGTTACAATAGTACAGAACATCTATTCCTTAAATTTCATAAGACAGCGCATTTTTCATAATACAGTTTCTTGTTTACAGCTGTTCATGTTATAATAAAGTGCAAGCACCTTCAAATGTGACTGTACCGTGTATGTGAGTGTATGTGAGTGTATATCTATTGTAAACGTAGACTAAATATATTTCATTTGAATAGAAAAAGAGTTGTTAGAGAAACTGCGTTGAAGATGTTAGGGTTTAATTTGAATTTTAAAAGAGAAGGTCAAGGAGAGGTGAAGTGTATTCCTAATGATTATTTAAGAGCAATCCAATAGTTATGAAAGGCTGATACAGAATAGTCTGTCAGAGGATACACTGACTCTCCACTCTTTGGCAGGTGGATGACATCTTAGGAGAAGGGAGTGATGAAAGTGATAGTGAAAAAAAAAAGCCAGAAGAGGAAGGTGAAAAACCTCAGATTAGTGCAACAGAGACTCCAGGAATGAAAACAGATCAGAGACCTGGATCATCATCATCATCGTCATCATCATCAAGTGAAAGAAGCTTAACAGGCAGTGTACCCAGGTATGACTTTTTCAAATGTAAAAAGAAGTGTTAATGATGTTTCACTGCGTGTGTGCATTATTCAGCATGCTTTTTGACAATGCAATCTTTGTGTCATTAATTTCTGTATGTAGGTAACTTTTTTTTTTTAATAACTGTGAAACCGTAATGCTTACCTCTGCAGTGTTTTGGGACTGATATAAGGAAATCGTCACAGTAAATGCCTGTTGGGAACCAGGATAAGGCCTGTTTTGAATAACTAAAGACCACTGAACTGTGCTTATTTTTAAGTAGTCCGATATTGCTACTGATGTCTGATACCTGACTCAGGATCCTTTGCAGTGTTACTTTAAGTAAAATAAGCATGGGTTTGGAAAGCTACAGTTTTTTCATCCTGGGTTTTTGAGATACTTTTATCTGAGACATTCATAAAAATGAGGTGGTTGAGATGGTTTTCTCCTTAGAAAGAAATTTAAACTTGCTAGTCTCTTCTGCAAAAATTATTTTAGTGTCCCAGCATTGACTGTTGAATGATGACTATTAATGAATTTGCTAGTTAAATTAGTAAATAATAAAAGAAGTGCTTATTTTAAGTATGGTAAGGAATGGTTCTCAATCTGTAGCCCCTCAATAGTTTTTAAGCTTAACAATATATAGAGAATAATATAAGATGAAGATTATAGCTGCTTTATTTTACAGTTGCTGGGATCATCATCCTGTACCACAAAGTGTCAAAACTGCAAACATGACTCAGATGTGCAGTGTAGTTTTTCTACTCTCATAACTGCACTCTGTTCTCAGTTGTAAGAATTTAAGCTCTATTTTCCTTAATGGAGGATAATGTAATTAGTAGGACTTAAGCAACTTATTTGCATTATTTTAACTTCTGTGATCTTTGTTCTAGCGCACAAAGAATGTATGAGAAAAATGGCAAAAACCACCACAGAATGAGATACATAAATATTTATGAGGAGATTTTGATTTGGGTAGCAATGTTGCTGTGTCAGGGTTTTATTGTAGAAAGAGCTACATGGGAAGTTTGCACAGGCCTTTTAGTTTATCGTATTTCTAATCATTGAGCATCTTCAAAAAAATTCCCGTCTAAAAGGTATGAAAATTTAATCTGTGTCAAATAGCTAGAAAAAAAAACATTCTCTCCTAATCAATTTTGGAAGAGAAAAGGCAAGCCGGTGATGAATATTTTTAGAATACCATTTGAAGCAGCAAGGCATGGTGGCGGCATGTCACTGCTAATTCATCTTAATACTGTGATGTTTTGTTGTATAGAAAATGCACCAAACACTGAAAAACAAAAGGCAAAAAGAATCATAGTAAGGAATATTGCTTAGGGTTATTGCTAAATACTATTCCCCATGTATGGTTTACAAAGATAAAATATGTAATTAACTTTTCCTCTATATAGGAAAGTTCGTAACTAAGCTGGGCAGTACTTCTGCACTCAGAAGCCATGGAGGGGGAATAGTATTGTTGTTAGAATAAAAGTCTTTTGAGTGGCTTCTTAAGTAACTTTTTTGATCTTCTACCTCTTAAGAGTTTCCCTGTCAGTTTTTTTAAATTGCATTCAGGATTGAACCTGAAGGGAGTGCTGGAGAACATACTCACAGAGTGCTGGTTCAGATGCTGACCCAGTGTCTGCTAGGCAGGAAATTCTGCTTGATAGAAGGGAGCCTCTGCCCATCATTCTAATTCCATTTTCAGTTTGAAGCTTTAAATTGATGTTTTCATGGTCAATCAGTGTTGTATGTGCTAAAGTGATACAGTTGTTTAAACAGCAGGATTAAAATCGCCAGGAGTTTAGTCCATTCCAACACAAATACTGGCCACGGTTTCTGGGGACCACATTTCTAAAAACTAAGTGCTATACAAGCATATACATCCCAACAAGATCTGAAGTTTTTGTTCTGAAAAATTGGAGTCTTTGGGGTGTTAGGAGCATAATGAGGCTGAAATTACATTCAGTAATTTTCAGTTATTTCTGCTGTTGTGTAGCCTGGTCACGAGTTATTTGTTACCATGAACACCATCACCTCTTGCCACATTAAGAAAACAGAGGCTTTGTATTCTAAAGGCCAGTCCCAACTATTCGATATGTAAATCCACCCTGGACCAGCTGTTTAAATCCTTAATTCACAACTTGTTCTGCTCACCCTGATGTCTGCATTTTAGTTATTAATGTTTCTGAAAAACAAAAGATGAACAAGAGAAGGGCAGTCCAAATATGATCCTGTACTCTCATGTTTTGGCTCAGCTTGTTCCTGGCAGAGATGGGACCTGCAGGGACTGTAGGGCGCTGGTAAGCGATGCTTCGCTGATCCCTTATGTCTTTCCTGTAGTTCCTGATGCTGGAAACATAGCGCTTACAAGATAGAGATCTAACACTTCTGTTTAATGTTCGTCTTCAGTCTTGAAGTCTACAGAATACCCTGATCATTTCTCTGATTGGTGCCACTTCTAAAAGTCTCAGGAATGGATTAAAAAAAAATAAGTAAAAACCTTTGAGAAATCTGATAGCTACTAGGGGAGGGGAAGTGCAGCATCTTTCCTACATCCGTTTACTTTTATGAGTTTTGGTAGGTACCATGCAGTTAGGTTGCAATTTGGCAGCCTACAGTTGTTTTAAAATCCCAGTTTCTTATGCAACTTAATAAAACACTTGCTTTTTAACCTGACATTTGTCAGCTAAAGGGTACTGCATAGACCAAACAATGAATGTGAATTTCATACTGTATAAAAAGATGAAATAGAAATTAGTAAAAAAAACATAGCTGTAATATTCATATTTGAGCAGCCTCTTGTGATTATGGCCTGCAAAACAATAAAATAAGTCATTTGCAGCTTGCTTTTATTTAGAAAGTCTAAAGGCTTTAAACAAGTTTTTATTCTTGGTCTTAATCTTTGTGTAGATAGTATTTTTCTGAGATGCTTCTTGCCTTATTTTTTAAAATAAAAGAATTGCTGTTTAGAGCTCCGATCCAGATTTTGTTGAAGCAAACAGGAGCCTGACTTCAGCTGGACTTGAGCCCCCTCACAATTCTACTGAAATTCTCTAATTAGAATGAAATTCCACTTAGTCTATTTGAAACATGTCACACGTGAAATTTATTGCTGTAAGTTACGATTAAGGAGTTCTAAATCATGAAAGTGCACAGGTGTTTTTTAAATAAGTGTTAGTAACAATTAATGGTATGTAATATGAAAAAGCTTTTTGAGACTAGTACAAATAGAATTTGTTTGTAAGATAAAACCGAATGTTTAGCTTCCATAGCACAGTATATACCTAGCAACAAGAGGTATCTAATTAGTTGAGGTATTTCAAGCTTTAAGTTGTCAGTGCATAGTTTGCTTTATTTTTCAAGTGCATTTTGATTTCCCTCTGCTGTCTCCACTGAGACTTGAGTGATACTGAACACAATTGCAGTTCTCATTTCCCCTTACCTTAAACTTGCATATTGTGAAGTAGTTGCCATAACAATATGTGTTAAACAAATACATTCTGGGTTAGTATGCTTTAATACTGGTCTTTGTAGGAAGAGGAAGAATCAGGTGAAAGGCTGTGACAGTCTCAAAAGAATATAGTTGGTAGAAGGATGGACAGGCACGTGAAACAAATAATGCTGTTGAGAAAATTAGCCGAGCAATATGCCAAAGATTGGGAGTTAGCCTCCTTCAGTTTATAGATCCTGGAAATTTTGAGTGGACATGTGAAGCCCTGTGTCTATGACTTGCCTATTTTCTGATACAGAGCAGACTTTGAAAATGGTTAATTAAATGCTTCTGTTTTATTGCTGAACTAGGAAGTTGAGTGCAGTTCATTTAATAAATAGAAATGTTAAAGGAATTGGGGCAATAGAACAGGAATTTGAGATGTGCCTTCTCTATTGCTGTCTACCAGTGGCATGGCTTATAGCTGTAGCATGTGGTCTTTAATACACCTAAGGTTTCTCTTAAGATACTGGAAATATTTAGTGGTGGACGGGTGTTAGCAGGAAATAAAAAATCACACAATACTGATTTAGTTTGAGTACTTACGTTCGTGTGAGATCCTAGACGGATACCCTTCCTGTTCTGAACCATCTGAACCCTTCTTTTTCTGTGTTCCTATGTTTGAGTGCAGACTTTGCAGTCAGGTTCTAATTCTTGAGGGAAAGGACATGATGGGAACCTTCAGATTTTTGAAGGATAGCTTGCGCTGCAAACACTCCAGTATCCAGCACCTCTTTATGTGTCTCACTTGAGGAATTACGGTCCAAGCAGTACTTTAAACAATGAGAAATGAGCCCAGCAGTGACACTGAAGTGAAAAATAATGCAGTTCATTTACCTATGCTGTAATATTCAATTTAATAGAATCAGTGTGTTGTAACTTGTAATAACTTCTAAGTAGGAGACTGAACTGCTGTAGCAGTATTCTATTTGCCGTTAAGTCACCATGATGTGGAGAGTCTTCCTTAGAGGTCTCCAGTTTCCAGTAAGCATAAGGGCTTGTTATACTCTGGGAAATTGTGGAGAACTGAAGGAGTGGTGGCTGCCCCTCCATGGGAAAGCCTGTTTGGGTGTTGGGATGACTGAAACCTTCCAGGTGTCGTGTGTGAGGCCTCCCTGAAGCACAGGGAGTTGGAGGCAGATTGCTGGTTCTGCATCCCCGCTGCTGCCAAAGCACAGGTCTCATCACGTCCGTGGGCTTTCGTGGCTTGGTGTTTGGTAAAGGGCAGTTTCGTGTGTGGGGAGGTGGGCTGGGTTTTGGTTCCGGTGTTTGCACACATTGGCTACCAACAGGAGACACCTTCCCCCAGAGGGTGAGTGGGAATGAAGGAGGAAGGTTGCAAACATGAGACAGATCAAGGCAGTGATGTCTTTGAACAGATTATTTCAGTCATGAAAGGTTGCAACTAAAAAGTATGGTGGTTATTTGAAGCATGCTCATTAAACCACACTTCTGTCTGTATCAACTGTTAAGCGGTTAACTTCATTTAGACTTCATGTACATCAGACAGGTTTGAT